GAATCTGCGCAACTAGCTGTACGCGTATAAAGGTATACATTATTTCACCAATTACATATGATAAAATTATGATATTTAGATTAACAAATTCACATGGATCTTGGAACTTATTAGCCCTAATTTTTAAATTTTCATTTTTTAATATCTTATTAGATCCATTTGAAAGGTTCATGCTTAATTTTTCCTCTTTCAATTTAGTTCCAATTTCAATTTTTTTCAATTAATTAGCTCAATTTTCATTAAATGGTTTTATTTCTCCCCATTTTATTCACTTCATATACATTTACTTTCCTTTTTTTTTTTTAACAAAATAATCACTAATTACAAAATTGCATCAGAAAATTCCACTCTCATGTAATAGTTCACAAATTACACATATTTTTGTAAATCTTTACATAAATTTATATTGCCCATTGACTAAATTGTTATAATCATTAATTTTTTTATTACAAAAAAAGAAGAGGAAAATAAAATTAATTTCTCATTTATGAATAAATCTATCTACAATGATTTCTATTTCCTTATACAAAAAAATAGTCAAATTACCATTATGACACAATTCAACTGGGATTCTGTATTTACTGTCACCAGATTTTCTCAAATTTATCGTATGACGCTTTTGCCACTAGGGCGGAGAAATCCAGACGGAGAAAAGCAGCAAAAGTTGAGGGGCAGAAAAGTAATATCACTCTCCCCATCCCAAAAATTTCAAAAATCGAATTGGCAAAATTTCGCCCCACCAAAAGTATTCGTAATCAGGCGGTGAAGATTTCAGCTTCCTAATCCGACCGTCCATTAATTTTCTTATCAACGGCTACGAACGTCGATCCGCGCCTTTTCGATTAATTGGTCCAGATTTCGGACCCGAGGCCTATATAAACCCCCCACCGCTTCTCGTTTCTGTCACTCGAACAAATTCAATTCCTCAGTTCAACGATAAAATTCACTCTGCTCTTTTTTTTTTTCTCTGAATTTTGAAATGGCGGGTCGTGGTAAGACTCTCGGATCCGGGTCGGCTAAGAAAGCCCAGTCGAGGAGCAGCAAGGCGGGGCTCCAGTTTCCGGTTGGTCGTATCGCCCGTTTCCTCAAGGCTGGCAAATACGCCGAGCGTGTCGGCGCCGGAGCTCCGGTTTATCTGGCTGCCGTTCTCGAGTATCTCGCCGCTGAGGTAATTTCACCATTAATTCGTCAAATTCGATGTTTTTTTTTTTCTGAAAACCCCCAATTCTAGATTTTCTCAAATCTAGGGTTTACAAAATTCCCATTTTACCCAAATCTCAATTTTCGATTCGATTTCTTTTCTAATTGGACAAATTCGATGCTTTCTACTCCCCTTTTATGAAAACCCCCAAATCTAGGGTTTCAAAATTCCAATTTTTTTTTTTTTTACCCAAATTTACTTTTCAAAAATTCCCCAAATCTTAATTTCTTTTCTAATTGTATCGATCCGCAGGTTTTGGAATTGGCCGGAAACGCAGCTAGGGACAACAAGAAAACCAGGATCGTGCCGAGGCACATCCAGCTGGCAGTGAGGAACGACGAGGAGCTGAGCAAGCTTCTCGGTGACGTCACCATCGCCAATGGCGGAGTGATGCCGAACATCCACAACCTGTTGCTTCCCAAGAAGGCCGGCGGCGCATCCAAGCCAGCCGCTGATGAGGACTAGATTGGTGTTAAAAAAGTTGGAGGGGGGTATACATGTCTTTTTAAGTAGTAGTGTCCTGTTTTTTTTTCTTTTAGGATTGTATGGGATTAATGAGGATTCTTGGCTGGATTCTCATTATTTCCCATTTTGTCCTTTTGAGTTAATGTAGTTTTACTGTAGCTGTTGTTTGGGTATGCTCTGTGCATAGAAATGTTATGATTATGAAGAAAAGCTGCATTTATGGAGATATTAATTAATGAAACTTTCTTTTAGTGTTTATTTAAATTTTCGTTGTCTCTCTCTCTATATTGGTGATAATATTTTAATAAATATAGAATAATTTATTTATTGGAGTATTTGGTTTTAAAATGCATAATTTATTTTTGTTCTTTGCTTTTATCTTCTTGAATTTAGCATTAAGATGGCTATTTTTAGGATTAGTAGGTGTAGGTGTAGGCTGTCAAAATTAATTGGGTAAATTGCACTTAGCCCCCTGAGGTTTGAGTTTTGTACACATGATCCCCTCATACTTTACTATAAGCTTGTAATATTTGTTAGATTAATTAATGGAATTAATGATTGGTTGTGTAGAAATAAAAAAAAATGAATATTTATGATACGGAATAAATATTGAATTGCTATCGTAATAACAATGGCAAATTATTTTTTTATTATGTTTTTATTTTTGTCATTCTTCTCTCAAGTTTGTAATAATTGTACAATTCTTTTAATTGGGACAAAGACTCAAGTTATAAGAACAATTCAAGTAAATAAGGCTGGTCGGATTGTTAGGTGTCTAAATTGTCACTAAATGCACATTTGAGTTCATATATTACAAATATTTCTTTAAAAGAAAGTTACTCTTTTTTTTTTTTTTTTTTTCTTTCCCTTCTCTTATTTGGGTTATTTCAGGCCGAAAACGCATCGCGTAAAATCTCACCATACACGTAAATAATTGTGTGAATCTACGGTGCAAAACTAGGCGTGTAAATTTCACCAACGAGACCATCTAACATACATCGACAAGTCACGAAAATTTCGAAATTCCATCATTTCTGTACACTGTCACAAAAAAAGAGCAGATCTTTACATTATTTACTACCTAATTCTAAATAATCAAAAGGCATACAAAATAAAAATAATGACAAAGAAGTTACAAACTTGGGATTTCCAAAAACTCCCACATTTCTAATACAGTACAATGTGTATACTAATACAAAACTAGTACTAATCATCATCCGAACTCGAACTCGAACTCGAACTATCCATTCTCCTATCGGCAATGGCCGGAAAAAGAAGATGTCTATGGTCCGCGGGGCCCGCCTTCCTCTTCTCAGGCGACGCCTCTCGCTTCTCCGGCGATGCCTTCCGCTTCTCCGGTGGCGGTGGTGGCGGCACCACCACCGCCGCCACTGCCGGCGGCGTACTACTCTCTTTCCTACTTCCCCCCTTCTTCGGCACACACTTCACCTCCTTACAAACCTTATCCAAAATAACAAGAAAATCCCTCACAACCACACACAATCTCAACCCTTCGTCTTTCCCCGAATTCCCATGGAAATAATCCGCCGTGCTCTTCATCAACCTCATAATCCTCTTCTCCTCCTCGAGCAACCCCATAACCTCCGCCTCCGCGGACCCCACAAAACTCTCCAAAGCCCTTTTGAACCCCTTCTCCTCCCCCAGATCCTTCATATCGAAATTCAAAAAATCCCGCGTCTTTATAAGCGCGTGGCCTAATTTCGCCACGTTGCTCGTCAATCCATCGACATCCAAAATCGCGGCTTTCTTCACGTTTTCGAGCTCACTACTCAAACCGGAGACAACTTGGAGGCCGATGCTTCTTAAATTCTCGTCGGAATCTTGTGCGGCGTCCTCGATTAGGTCGTCCGATTTGAAGCTCGACATGCTCCTCATTTCTCGGGCAGCTCGGGCAGCCCGGATCCCCTCTGACCGGATTATTTCTTGGACGACGAAGTGGAGGAGCGTGGTTTTGCCGTCCACTCCTTTCACGTCGGATAGTTTTAGGAGGGTGTCGAGCTTGAACGCTTGGGCCCCGCCTCGGAAGGTTCCATCGTTCATTCGGTTTCCTGTTTTGAGGACTGCTTCTAGAAGTTTCATGAAGAGTCTGCTCTTTCGGAGTTGAGTGCAAGCAGCCTATGGAGGAGAACATCATATAATAAAGTTAGTCATCAAAACGAGACTTTTTAGAGACAAATATACACTAAAACACTTCTAGGGGTATAAAATGAGTTTACTGCATTTAGTACCCCTGTGTTATATCGAGTTGCTACAAAAGTCTCCGTGTTGTAAATATTAGAGAAACTCCCCATATAATGTTTTTTTCAAGCGCATAACCCCCTAAAAAGTGCATTTTTAGGCGGTAGTTTGCTAACAGAAAAAAATGAATCATGGAGAATTTTTGCTAATAAAATAACATGGGCAATTTTTAACAATTAGAAAAAAATACAAGGGTGCCGAATGTAATAAACCCTATAAAACAACAAACAATATGGGAAGGAGAGAATAGTTATTTTGAACAGAGGTGGGGGGCCACGGCCCCCCATGTATCCTCGCTAACGAATAAGAGATTCTACTAGGAATAGGAAGACTCTTTTACCTCCAAGACCATAAAGGAATCTTTTAACGTTAACGTTTCCTCGTGAAGAGTGCACATAAAGAGCAAAGAATCCAATCTTTTGAATGCGAACGGAATCTCCACGAGTACTTTCAGAAACCGCTCCGCGGGGCCCAGGTTAGAAGGCAGGCCGTTGTATAGCCTCAGCTTCAACTCTTCTTCTGCAGTGGGGGCCATCTTCAACAATGTCCGAATAAGTTCCGAAGGTAGCTCGTTACCTGCTATTCCATTTCGAAGAAAAAGGTTGTTAAGACATTTTTTTTTTATTAATTAATTAATTCTTGAAACTAACGAAAAAAAAAGCAACGGAAACAAAAATCACCTTCTTCCAGTGCGTCACAAACTTCTTCCGTAGTCACGTTTAATGCTTTGAGCAGAATCGAAAGATTCTGTGACTTCTTGGTATCTATTATTTGAATGAACTTTCTCGAAGAATCTTGAGAAGGGGAGCCTATTTTTGTACTGGTTTTTGATGGGTCGGGTGGTAAGTATCCGAACAGACTTTCCATCATTTCTTCATTGAGTCTGTTTATTATATTATTGACTGGTTAATTACATGTTTCGAATTATTTAAATAATATTAAGGCTCTGTTTGGTTCAAGAAAAATGATCAGTAGAAAGATGAAAATATTAGGTAAACTGAATTTAAATAACAAATACCCTAAAATGCTTTTTCCTTAGCAACCAAACGTAGTTGAGATTTTCAAATTCTTTATTTTCATTTGCTTTTGCATTTTCATTTTCACCATTTTAAAATCCATGAACCAAACACATCCGTAAAAAGAAATATTTTAAAAATAAAGAGGGGCGAAAAAATTGGACTTACTGAAACGACCCGGCTTTGATCTCGTTCCACACCATCGCATTGTCGGGGTTGGCCAATACCTTGTCCCAGAAGAAAGGCTTTAGCTTAGCTTTGGAAGCGTCGGTGGAAATCAACGGGTGATTTGGCGCAGGCGGTACATTCCTCCGGTGTTTCGGGCCGGCCCCAGGTGGCGGCGGCCGGGGCGGAGGTGGCCCCCCATTTGGAGGTGGCGGCCCACGTGGGCCCCCAGGCGGAGGTGGCGGCGGACGCGGGCCCCCAGGCGGAGGTGGCGGTGGACGTGGGCCCCCAGGCGGAGGTGGCGGTGGACGTGGGCCAGCTTTTAGAGGTGGTGGAGGTGGTGGCGGTCCACGTCCAGGCGGCAGGGGAAGTGGTGGGCCGCCACTAGATCTCAGCGGCGGCGGCGGTGGTGGTGGTGGTGCTCCAGGAGCTGGTGGTGGTGGCGGTGGAGGAGACGCCGCCACCACAACTGGCGGAGGAGGAGGAGGAGAGGGAGGAGGAGGTGGAGGAGGAGGAGGGGGAGGAGCCACCACAGGTGGCGGCGGTTTAGGAGGAACTATCCTTCCGGGAGGCGGCTTTAAAGGAGGAAGGCCGTTCGGACCAAAGATGCTAGATGGCGGATTTTCTGCTGAGGTGGCGGCGGCAAGTGGAATATCGACTTTTATATTGCTAAGAGAATGTTGAGACTCTGCATATTTGCTCCCGAAAGACTGATTACGAAGCTTTTCTCCATTCATTGAGTTTCCGAGACTGAAAGACTTCTGTGAAGATACTAAAAAAAAAATCGAAAAAAAATAAGCAAATTAAATACGCGGAAAACGAAAGAAAAAGAAATAATTAAAATAAAAAAAAAAATCATTTTTTACTGTTGGAATTGCCACTTAAGCTTAAGCTGAGAAGGGGTTTTTCGTCATTTTTACCCCTTCCGGGATTAACTCCAAAACACCAACAAAAGAGAAGCAAAGCAATAGCAAATGTGACACAAGCAGTTACAGCCACTGCAATAATAATGGCTTGCAATGGAGAGGAATCTTCTACAGTTGTTTTTTGGGATAATTTGCGCCTTCTAGAAGAAGAATATTCATTCTCCCGATTAATAGGGAGAAGGATATTCTTTTGACGTGAACAATCTAGAAGGACTTGTTTGACATGGGGGCACAATGCATTGGGATTGTCGTGCAGTTCTTTTCTAGACGACCTACATTTCGAGAATTCCTCTTCGCTGTCACTCGACGACCTGTCCTCTGAGAAACGTGAATCGAGATCTTTTAAGGTTTTGTTGGCATGTAATAACGCACGTGTGCAGTTTGCCCGCAATAATTCGGCCTGCATCAAGAACTAGATTAGGCACTGCATTTCTTCACTAAAAACGGGGTTCATAATTTTCAATCAAAACATATTGGTTTGAATTATTATCAATAAAAGAAAATATCTCCAATGGAGCTCCTGTCAAATGACACGTTTGAATTGGAATATTCTTTATTTCACTCGTTTTTCGACCACATACTCTTGAAAGTGAAGTGTAAGGAATAAGGATGAGACAATAGGATGAAAGTACTAAGATATTCTAAATATGTTTTCTTATTTATAAGATCCCTACGTAGAATTATGCAGTACATATGGAGGAAAAAAACACGAGGAAGGATTCGTACGTAAATAAACGATCATCAAACAATAAGAAGAAAAAAAATTCTTCCGATAATCTTTTTGCTAATATTAATATATGCCTCTAAAATGATAAGTTAAACAGATCAAGAAGCAAAAAAGTGGCAGACATGTAATTAATTCTTCCAATAATTCGAACCGTAATCTTCTGCAAATTCTCACTCTTAAGTTTCGATATCCTATTTACACTTGTCTGAAAAACAGGCACATAAATAAAAGCACACAAATTGTCAATATGCACATAAAAATGCAAGAGAGTAAGAGCTCTGTACCATCTCATGATTTATCTCCCCCGAGTCGAAAAGACAAGCCGACAAGGGTTCTTGTTCTTCCTCGTTCAGCTCGGTTTCGACACCCATAACCACCATAATCGAGAGCAGAAGAACAATAACCATAAAACAACAATTCCTGCTGATGATTATCTTTTCTTGAATCCTCATCTTCCCCAAAGGTATAGCAAAATGCTTCTCATAGCACCAGACGAAGAATGAAACAGACACAAAAACCAAAAGCCCCTTTTTATTTCCTCCTTAAAACATGTCCAAAGATCAAACATTTATTTATTTTTTTCTTTCTGAAGAACAGCTCTCACATGGACATTTAATCAAACACCTTGTCTGCCCACCTCAAAATTACGCATGAGAATTGGGAGGGGAGAACTGCACGCGCCACAGAGGCGGACGAAAACCTAGAAATGGGAATGTCGAATATACACCCATGGATAAATTCTTGAATGCGCAATTGCATTATGTGTATATATACATATACACACACATTCATATATGCGGTGGAAGAATGCGTGACCCGACCAAGAAATTTGTTTTGGAGGAAAGTGGAAAATTCTTCCCTCTGTTCGAACGTAAATCGAACGGAAAATCCGACAAAATCCTGATGAATTATCTTCTGGTATTTGGTAATTTTATGTTCTTCCGAAATTTTTTTTTTTTTTTTTTTTTTTTCTTGACCTATTTCTTGATCAGTGTGATTTAATTTTTTGGTGGCATTTTGGTTTTCTTGGAGCGAGAAAAGTACGCGGAGAGTAGCCGTTTCGACTCGGTCCGAGTTGAGGCCTTTTTTTTTTATGCGTTTTATATTATTTGTAGCGCGCGCTTTCTTATTCTCTATCCGATTTTAAATTATACTAATAAATTAATTAATTTTTAGGGTAAATAACACTTAACCCCCTGTGGTTACAAGTTTTTTCAGATGACCCCCTGGTGTTCTAATATCAGCACATAACCCCCTTATTGTTTATGGGATAACTTCCGTTAGTTATTCCGTCAAACTTAACCGCGTGTATCAAACTTTAAAGGGGTTATCTGCAAAAATAAGAGCACAAAGTTGTCATCTACAAAAATAATTACTTTGACATTTTGACACAAGCGGTTGAGTTTGCCGGAAAAACTAACGGAAATACCCCATCAATCACAAGGACTTATCTGCTGATATTACAAGTAAAAGGGGGTCATCTGCAAAATATTGTAACCATAAGGGGGTTAAGTGCTATTTACCATAATTTTTACATATGTAGTACGGACACGGAAACGACGATATTACGCAATGGGAAACGACATGTTTCAAAAATGGGGATATGGGAAATTGGGGCAACATGTAAATATTAAAAGTGTGGGGGTATATATATATATATATATATATATATATATATATATATATATATATATATATATATATATATATATATATATATATATATATATATATATATATATATATATATATATATATATATATATATATATATATATATATATATATATATATATATATATATATATATATATATATATATATATATATATATATATATATATATATATATATATATATATATATATATATATATAAAATATGCTATATAAACATATATATGATTTTATTTGTATTTCTTCATACAAATATATTTAAAATAAATATTCATTTGCAATTGATCATTAAATCGTTTAAGTAATTTGGGGGCAACAAAAGTATTTGGAAATTCGCTATTCAAAAATATTTCTAACTTTTTAAAAATTGCAAAATGGTCCATGAGATGTCCGGTAGGTGCCCTTGAGTGTTGGACACAAAATGTGTCCAGAACGCGAATACGTTAAGAAAGTTGAAATTTTCGTACTACATAGATTTTTACGAGTACGCATAGGAGTAAAAATTGGAACAAAAATTTTGAATTCGGTCTATTAATTCCTTCGTAAAAGTTCTTATTTTTGGAATTAGTATTTTCTATAATGAATTTCAAAAATTTGAATTACTGATTTTCTAAATGTTGTGAGTCTTAATTGGACAAATTTTTGATTTTCGATCCGAAAAAATTTCAATTTTGAAACATGTTTGTGTTCGATTCAAACGGGACGTAAAACCTCGTTTTTCTAGCTTTGAGTGTCCAAAATTTGTTGGCTCTTTCAATGAGCATCAGCCAAAATAATAATAAAACTACATAATTAAAAAAAAAAGGGAGAGCCATGAGTGATTTTATTTTTTTAACGAATATATGTATTTCCTTTTTTGTTAATAATAATTGAAGCAAAAAATAAAATAATAATAATAACTAAAAAATAAGGAGTAGAGAATATGGACCAACTTCTCAGAAATTAGGCCTGTAAGTTCTTATGGCCCAAAAAAAGCCCAATATAAAAATTAATATAAATTGGAGATGCGGGGTATCGATCCCCGTACCTCTCGCATGCTAAGCGAGCGCTTTGATTATCTTCTATACCAATACTATTGATCATGCTATGTTTTTTATGTTTGGCAAATTTTCATTGTCTTAATTGCATGAACACTTTGGTCTATGAGTAATTGAGAATTCTCTTCAATTGATCCATTGTTTATATGTTATATGTCATTTTGTGACATTAGTGCGATAAACAATATTTGGTTCTTCGTTATGGTTTATCTTATGAAATTCATGAATGTGTATGAGCATGTGCGGTATGAATTATTAGAACGGAAATTCTAATAAGTTAAAATATTCATGAAATTGTTTATGGAGGTTACATTCCCGTAAAACACTAATACTCCATACTATATTTGATTCAAGACGAAACACATGAGCAAGCTCGAGTTCACCCATCTTAATGTATCTGGTGAAAATTGTATTTGGTGAAAAATGTATGTTAAGATCCACCTGCTTAGTATCAAATTGAGAATAGTTGTCGAGCGCAATTTGTTAGCTAAGCAAAGTCCAGAAGACTGAGGCTATGATTCTGATCAAGAGACACTTAGATGAAGTCCTTTGTTTGGACTATACTCATCAACAAAAAATCCTCATAAATTATGGGATTATACTCACTAATCATTTTGATCACCAATAGA